AGAGATGACCCTGCTCTGAGCACGGAATTGGACTAGATATGACCTAAGGCCCCTTCCAATTGAAATTATGCCAGCTTGCTTCGTTCCGTGCTAACAGGATCAGATGTCAGGCCCTTCCTTTTTGAGGGTAGAGTTGTTCTTTGGAAACCAGCAGCATTATGTCTGAAAAAAAAATGCCTCTGCTGTGATGGAGCTGCTGGAAAGCAGATTGATGTACTGAGAGAAGGAGTTTGCTGTTAAAAAAAAAGTTCTGTACTCGATTTGGGTTCCCAGGGTTTAAGGAGGCTCTTTTTGCATTTGAGCATTTTGACAGTTTTCTTTTCAAGTTTACATTCAGTCTTTAATGGTTGCTGTAATTTTACTTTTAAACAGCGCAGTTCTTCAAAGGCAGCAGTGAAAGAGCATCAGCTGAGGTCTGTCTGGTGATCGTGAGGGGTTCTCAGTGGCTCATTTCTTCAGCTGTCATTTGTCAGAACACACTCATGTAATCTTAATGAACAATGTGCAAAGCCATTAAAAACTCAATTACGGCTTTCTTTTTACTGCAGACGTGAGAAAATGCAATCATAAAGTGCTGATGTGTAAACACAATAGCCACCATCTGCTACAGAGCAGCATTTCAGTTCAAAAAGAGGGTATATGTTGCAGATGCATCAATAATAGGAAGCTTATCAAGGCATCATTATGCACCAAGCAGGGGAAAAATTGAAATTTATGGCCAGCTAGAGAGCACTTCATGGTTTAATTCCCCAATTTTCAGTGGTATGTTTAATAACTGTAAGAGAGTGCCTTTTTATGTTCAGTGTCATTCGAATGGATTTTTAAAAATGAATTTATTTACCATCTTTCTTTTCTCCGTGCTTTTGACTGATCTGAACACAGCACATTCAATTTTAGTTATTCAGGAAGGTGGCAAAGCCAGCAAGATATTAATTAATGTAACCTGTTGGTTCAAGAGCACTAAAGTTAATTGACCTGATATTCAGCTGCTTTAATGAGCATGTGCTTCTGTGTCCAATGAAAATAGAAATACCCAACAACTTTCACACAGAATAGATCATTTCTTCTCTCCAAACTTTCTTTTCCCATTTCAGTGTCTATCTGATGACATTTGAACTTTCCAGACGGAGGTAAACAAAATAGCACTCAGTGTTTTTTTCTACTGTCATTCCTGTTCAAAGTCAGTCTAAATCAGAGTTTCTTCAAGGAATCTTTCATTTTATACAAATTCACGCCAGGAGAAATTTAAGTAGGTTTTCAGTCATTCGTTGATCAATAATTTCCGTTTGTGACATGTTAATGCATTCCCTGGGGCTTTATATGAGTGAGAAATGTGACAAATGGTTTGTTGGTGCCAGACCTGCTTGTACCTCTTTTATTTGCACGTACAGGCCTATAAATTCAAAAGAAGTCCCATCAGCTTCAATTCCGTGCTCATTCTAAAGAAGGCTGTCAGACTCTGAATCGCGATGTGTCAGTTTTTATTACGGCTAATAAGGCAAAATATGCTTGTCCTTAAAAGGCTGTTTTGAACTTTATGCATTTATTTATTTATTGCTGCTGGGAGCAATTGTAGTGATCTCAGAGCTACTGGTAAGCAATGTGTACTGCCCAGAAAAGCTCTACCAGCACGGACACGTAGTCAGTGCATCCCAGCTGTTGGTCCAGGATCACACAGAGCAACCTTTGGAAGGTTCTTGAGGATAGGGGATGGGATTTGCATTCAAGTTCACAGTGCAAAAAGGAAAATGAGAATCACGTACGTGGAGAGCAATTTGTGGTACAGGGTATAAATGATTCACAACAATGAGATTTTGTGAGATAGATGTTTTTGTACTCACTATCAGTTATGGCGTGGGTGAAGCTTTAGTTTAATAATATCCCCTCCTAAGGGCAGGCTTGGTGTGTTGTGCACCAACTTGATCCGGGACGAAAAGGGCTTCTTGTGGCAGCTGCCACCTGAGGTCTCTGTGGAAGTAAGGGCAGATAGAGATAGCAGATGGCACAGTTAAGGATGGGAGCACTTTTCTGCAGCAGAGGCTGCACTAGAAGTGGAAATCTTTTATCTCTGTCACTAGCGTGTAAAACAATATCTCTCCTCGGGACTTTACTGGAGACTGTTAGAATTTTACAGCATTTTCTCCTGTATCTCTAGGCATGATGTGGGGTGTGGCTATTAGTTTTTAAGGCATCCATAAATTAGAATTAAGGCTGCGAATAATTTGCAAATGGCAATAATTTTTTTGTGAGGCTATTCTTCCAGTAACGAAGGCTAATTATTTTGCTAAGTGTTTTTTGGTCGATGGATATTTTATGGCTCACGTTGTGTCAGTCATTATGTACAGGCTCTGTACTCTCTCTAGAGTTGTCAGCAGTTGCACAAAAGGCCATTGTCGTACTGCAAATAGCATATGATTCATTTTTTTGTGGGTGTCAAAAAATAAAATTGTAATTATTGCTTTGAACTTTTTTTTCTAAAAGTTGATGTTTTTCTCCCAGAGGAATGCTCATTATTTTTTACGTGAATCTGTAGAAGTGAAATCCTCCCTAAGTCTATCTATCATTGAAACGCTTGCCTAATGTAGTGCAGTACAGACCTAATTGTGTTAGGCACTGTACAGCTTCAGAGCAGATCTTTAGGGTGGGGATCCATCCATTATCCAAATACAGAAGTGTGAAAGGTTGAGGAAGACACAGGGAAGTGAAATGATGTGTGCTAAGATCTGATCAAAGATGGAACAGAAATGAATGACCTCTGCTTTTTTTTTTTTACTGAATGTTTTCTTTGGCTGTACCATCACCCCTGTACCTTACATCCGGCAAAATTGTCTTCATCAGATTTTGTACTGCTTCCCAAAATGTCACTGAAACACTGCAGGCGGTGCATTTTGCAGCAGCTAAAACAACAGCAACAAAGCCCTTCTGTTATTCAGCAGTTACACGGCAGCTTCTGTCTCTGATTCTTAATAGTAGGTTTTACTAGTGTTCTGATTTGATTTATACAGGAAGATAAGGCACTCTGCACATACAGACAGAGGTCATAGAATTGAATGTTGTCATTAGACTTAGAAACCAGCCCATTGGATTTCCACCTTGCTGCCTTAACCAGCAGCTGTGCTGCCTTGCCAAGCCTGTTGGTAGCTCTGCTTCCTGGTAATAAATTATCCCAGGTCATAAAGTCTGAGCCCAAATCTCAGATTGCCACAATGTTAGTTTATTTGGGTGGATGAGAAGATTACTGCAGCACTCATTGAAATCTCTCATTTGGCGAAGGGGATTTTGTGCTTGGCTGAGGGCAAGAGTATATCAACAGAGAACATTTGTCAAAGTCTCACCTTACGGACTTTGATTATTAGAGAAAAAACGAAAAGTTTGGATTCAGCTCTTCTGTTTCTTGAGCTCTTTGCTGTGAATCTGGAATTTCTTGATTTGGGGCCATTGAAATTTTCAAGCTATCCAAATGAAAGATTGGATTGCCAGAGAGCACCTTGACTGTAGCTTTTCTTCTTGTACATCTTCTTCCCCAGCTGTGCTTGCACTGTGCTTGAGTTTTCCAAGGCCTCTGTAGTGTGTGATTGTTGATTTTGGATGCGGATGAAAGATCTACTTTTTTCTGTATCCATGCTTTTCAGTCCTTTACAAAATGTATATACATATATATCACGTAAACAGAAACCAAACCAAACCAAACCAAAACCAACACCAAAAGCAGTTTTGTGTGAGAAAGTTGCTGGTATCTGTTAACTTAAAAAACCAACCAAACAAACAAAAAAAAACAACCCAAAAAACTAAAATGTATGGCTGTCCACTGGACAGAATTGATCAGAATGTTTACCTGGCTCATCTGAGTGCCTGTCAAACTGCTGTGGCATGGAACCGGGAAGTCGATAGGTTAGAAGTGAGCAAGGCTTTTCAAACGCAATGTTCTGTGAACTGCAAGAGGCCGGTAGACAAATACATTTGTAGCATGACTTGGCAGCTGCAGCAGGACTCTGAATGTCAAGAAGGCTGCATTTGATTAAAAATTATTATGCCTAGTTGCTGACACATAGATTTTTCCCCCCCGGATCTTGGTATTTTCTTCAGCTTTTTCTGTGAGTGTCTGCGCACACATAAAGCAGATCCCTTAAACAGAATTGAATCAAATAACTCTCATAATGTTTTTTCTTATTGCTAACATTTGTCACCTTGATGCATCTGTAAAGAGATGAGTTGAGACACGATGTGCTGTAAAATAACTGCTTGATGAATCAAAACACGAGTTCAACATCCAGTGCCATGGTTAATATGATGCAAGCTTCAGGGTTAACAAACTCATAAATTGCCTTAGTATAGATTTCCCTCCTAAAACTCAGCCAATCCTTCCCTCTTAGCAGCGTAATTGTCCTTGTTGCTGTATTGCTAGTTGAGATGATGTGCTAACAAGCCTAATTCATCTAGGCTCTGAACACCAGGTTTTCTTAACACCTTGCCACTTTCCAAAGCTTGTACCACAAGACACAGGGTTCCTGGGTATAGGTTGGCACAAAGTTGGTAGGGACCATGCAGGCTAATGCCAGCTGAGAATTTGATCTTTTGTAGGAGACTTTTGTATTCAATGTGCCTTTGGGGATGTAGATATCTGGGGCTGTACGTGGTAGGAGAGCCTCATGGCTGCTTGAAGGGTAAATGTGATTTTGTGCAGAGTGACTCTTTTATTGCAATGTTATAAAACAATAAAAGCAAAGTCGTATTTTTATTTTTAAAGTTATCTAATTAAGGTGGTTATAGCTGGCCATGAATCTATTTGTATTTATACCCTGTAATTTAGATCTCCTTTCTTTTCTGTTACCTAACAACTAGCATAAAATAGCTAGTTTGAGTTCTTAGGAGGAACTGTTTTGTTTCTGGCTTCTAAAGGAATCACTGACTTTTCTAAGGAAACTGCTTTAACTGAAAGAGCTCAGCAGATGTTTTGTATTCTTTCTTTTTTCCCTTGTCTGTGTATAGGCTCCTTCATGATGGTGAACAGCTCTGGACGGGCATCTGGGCAGAAAGCTCACTTACTTTTGCCCACGTTGAAGGAAAATGACACACATTGCATCGACTTCCATTATTACTTATCCAGCAGAGATCGCTCGAGTCCTGGCTCTCTGAATGTCTACGTGAAAGTGAACGGAGGACCGCAGGGCAATCCCATATGGAATGTCTCAGGGGTTGTTACAGAAGGATGGGTGAAGGCAGAACTTGCCATCAGTACGTTCTGGCCACATTTTTATCAGGTATGAGTTTGCAACATTTATCTCACATTTTCCACTGAACATCTGGCTGAGCGTGAGCTATGCGCTGCTGTTAGCATTAAGTCTTCTGAAAATTAAATACAGTGTTTTTCCCCACATCTTTTTGGTATCAAAATGAGTTTTCATATAGCAGTTTTATAGCAAGAGATGATAGAGACCTCTTGACGTAATTCTCGCCCTTTTTCTTCAGATGTTCTCAGGTCACAGAGAAAAAGCTGGACAGATGAAGTAATTTATTGGAAAGTTAGAACCCATTTGTATGTCATGAAATATGCATATAAACAGACTTGGATTGGCACTTCCCATGCACACAATGGACTCACATACTTCTTCTTAAGCGGTGAAGACATGAGGACTCTTATCTTCAAATTCTTATTTTTTTATATTCAAGGAAAAAAAAAAATGCCTGGGAGGTAATTGCACCCTACTCCTTACAAGAAAATGAGAAATATAGATTATAGTTAAAAAAAAAAAAAAAAAAAAAAAAGCATGAGTGAGATGGGAATTACAGTAAAAGAAACTATGAAAAGGCAATGAATGCTCTACGGATAGAAAACAGTAGGAAGAAAAGCCTTTTTTTTTTTTTTTTTTTTATAACTGGGTAGTAGGTCTATAGAATCTGAGCTAAAGTAGAACACTTTAATGTTCTGCCTCCTAAAAGGAGCAGAGGATTTCAGCAGAATAGATAAGAACGCACTGTACAAGGTGAAAGGGAATATGGGATAAAGAGATGCAAATGCACTGAAAGTGGTGTTTTAAGGGCTGTGCACAACTTGTCACTTGCTCTGAAATCGTATTAAAGTGATCGATACTACTTTCATATTAACATCAACATCAATCAGAATCTGCTTCGTAGAGGTGCTGTACAGAGATAACAGAAATGATCTTTCACCCAGGTAATCAGTGCTTGAAAAACCTGGAAAAGACAGTCTGATCTCAAACGAAGAGATCCAGCTGTTAGATGTACCAATACCAGACTTCCTGAACGTTATTACATCTTTTGCAAGTCTTTTTAGAGGTCAGGTTTGCTTTTCCTGAGAAAGAAAATCCTTTAAATCAAAGAAGAATTTTGCACTCCTGCGCAAAAATGAAGAGCCTAAAGGCAGCAGTGACTCCCTGGGAGTGGTTCCTGCCCACAAAATGCAAACACTCTCTTTTTCTCTCCCTCTCCTCAGCCTTACCTTTTTGATGGGTAAGGTTCCAGCTCCCTTCTTCTAAAGTACGGCTTTTAAAATGCGAGGGTCTTTCCCACAGGTTGTGGGGGATCTGACAGGCTGTTCTGTCATTGATCCCTAATTTTGTACACAGTTTCTGCAATCTAGTGACTCTCTACATTTAATTAAGTTTAAAAAAGAAGAAAAAAAAAAGACGAAAGAAAGCTTTAAGCTCTCAAAATCGAGGAGGAAATATAATCACAGAATTTTATCAAAATTATTGTTCTTTGCCATCGTAACACTTGTGGCTAAAGGAGTCCAGAGGTGGCAGGGTGATAAAAGCTTGTGTGTACCAGTGCCTAGGGAATGTCTCCTTTTACACTCACAATCTAGATTATACTGTAAGAGTGTTATTTGTCAGCTTTAAATCAAAACTGCATGCTTGGAGAACAATTTGTGCCCAAGAGGCCTGAAAGCATGTTCCGTATTTCAAAAGCACAAGGTAACGCAGGAAAAAAAAAAGTATTTCTCCTAAATAATGAAATCGGTGTCAGGCAAAATGTGGATTATTCTCTTAATGCACGACAATCGCGCCGTCAGGAATTGCTGTGTGCATTGAAAATTCTGTCAGGCATACAAATCTGAAGCCATTTGCCCTGGGTGTGAGGTTTTGACAAGTACTTGGAGCTTTGGAGATGGGAGTAGTGGCAAACCAGTGCCAGGACTATTGCCACAGGGTCGTGGTTTGGGTCTGGCAGTTCTGCACAAGGGTTGTGTGAGTCACCCTGTCAACGGTTTACGGGCTGGTTCGGCCCAGTTCCGTGACCAGCGGGGTGGAGGGATCCGCAGATCCGCGCCTCCGGAAAAAAGGGAACAGGGGACCCCAAAATAATTAAAAACAGCGGTTGTTTCTGAGGAGAAACAAACTAATTTACTAAATATACTATCAGAATGCAAGATAACACACTATAATACAATATAATTAAATTTGAAGCTAATAAATCAAATATAATGAGAGAGAGAATGTCTGAAAGTTGGGTAGGCCTCACCACAACGTGGAGTGCTGAGGTGAGATGCGCAGTCCAGTTGAGCAGCAGGGAGAAAAAGCACATCAGGTGACCTTGCCAGGAGTTGTATCTCGAGACTCTCTGTGACCGCAAAGTCCCCTGGGGAATGTAGTTCTTCTTCTCTTCCAGGCAGGTACCACAGAACCACAGAATCACAGAATTGCCAGGGTTGGAAGGGACCTCAAGGATCATGAATCTCCAACCCCCCTGCCACACGCAGGGCCACCAACCATCCCACCTAATGCTAGACCAGGCTGCCCAGGGCCCCATCCAACCTGGCCTTGAACACCTCCAGGGACGGGGCATCCACAACCTCTCTGGGCAGCTGTTCCAGTACCTCACCACTCTCTCTGTAAAGAATTTCACCCTGACGTCCAACCTAAATCTCCCTTCCCTCAGCTTAAAACCATTTCCCCTTGTCCTGCTGTCACTCACCCTTTCAAAGAGTTGATTCCCCTCCTCTTTGTAGGCTCCCTTTAGGTACTGAAGGCTGCAATGAGGTCACCCCGCAGCCTTCTTTTTTCCAGGCTGAACAAGCCCAGCTCCCTCAGCCTGTCCTCATAGGGGAGGTGCTCCAGTCCCCTGATCATCTTCGTGGCCCTCCTCTGGACCCTCTCCAACAGCTCCCTGTCTTTCTTGTACTGGGGGCTTGTACCCAGAGCTTGAGCATTAAGTTAAACTCCCACTGCCCCACATGATGTTATGATGTGGAATACTGAAAACCAAAAATCACAAAACCATGACACACCCACATCCAGAAGCACTCTGCTGAGGTATTAACGTGAGGGCAGTGGAGGTTTATCAGCTCTGCCCAAGAGTTAGTCGTGCCTTGATTCCCAGTCTGCGTGCGTGTTTGGTGTAGCGAGTAAAAGCTGTAATAGCTCTTGGAGAAAGGTAAGACGTGTTCTCTTGAATTACTGCGTGCCGTAAGGATGAATTCAGTCCCAGAATGCACCAAGAGCAGCACTACAGTCTGCCAGGAAGGGGTGTTTTGATGTACAGCAAGGAATGGTATTGATCCATGCCTGAAGAAAACTGTCGTACCACAACAGATGAGCCAGGCTACATTGCTAACACAGACATTGCTGGTAGATAGCAGCAGTGAAATGTGGGCTTGTTTATGGGTGAGTAAACATGAGATGACTTGGTGTTTGCAGTTCTCAGGAGCATTTAAGAATGTTGAAGAGCAAAGCTTTGCATTTACCATTTATATTAATTTCTGAGAACTTCCAAAAACGTAAACTATTAAACACCTGTTCCTCAACCATTTTATTACATTTTCAACTGAAGTTAAAAGGATGTAAAAGAAATTCAGTGTGAAATTTGCCAAACTGTGCCACCTATAAGCATGGATTTCTGCCTGTTCCTCCCTGCTGGATCTCAGTTCCCTGTATCTAGAAAACCCAGGTGCTTCTGCTCTGCTCACTTTGACAGAGCTGTGGTACAAAACTGCATAAAAGGGCAGCAGTGTGAAAATCTGAACTGGGAAATAAAGAGATCTGAGTATAGAGTGAAACAGGTAATAAAATACCCTGTCTGAACAAAACAGAATTGAGAGGGACCCCTCCACTCTTGTCAGTGATTTTGGCACCAGTGTGAATATTAAAGCCATAGATTTAATCCATAGGGGCTGACACAGTTGCCAGTGACTCTAGGTTGAGGTCATTTGGTGCTCTATTAAAGACATTGAACATGTCAGTAATTAACAGAAGACAGCTCACTGTGTGTGCTTTTACTGCAAAGATGTGGGGAATTTTTCTTTCCAAGTTCTTGGCTTTCAGGAAATTGATGTAGCAATTCAGCAAAGCTTATCTTCTCACTAATGCATAACCAAAGTAAGGTTTTGTAGCTGTAAAGGTGCAGTTTAATCCTAGTCTGAAGGGAGTCACAGTAGTTGCTGTGTGACCTTACCAGTAAGTGCCATTTTTATCATGAATGAGTTTTCATTTATCAAATACATTGTAATTTCCATACTAAGGACATGCATTATATTCCTTGTTTATACAGTCTCTAGAAAGTATTGAAACTCTTGAACACAGGAAACATTTGTTGATGGTTTGATCATCTTCCAGATATTTGCTTCTTTCTCCTATTCCTTGGACAACCTATTTTCTGCCCACCTTCATCTGCTGCAGAACTCTGTTTCTTTCTATTGCTAGCACCTGAGCTTTTCTTAGTTTGTCTTTTCCCCTTTATTTTTGTATTCTACCTGTTTTTATCATGACATTTTTCTAAAGGGCTTCTTTCAGGAGTGCTCCCAGTTGGGATGCTTTGAACTGAGGGAGCAGATCTTAAGATGTCATGGGAATATAAGTAGAAACTAAATTATGGAAGCCCAAATACAAAGCAAAATGATTAATGGCAACCTGATTATGAAGTACATGTTGCTTTACTTCTGTAGCCTGAGCATGTGGTGATCAGCATTCAGAAAGTTGAATCTTTTGCTGTGTTAAATCTTCTGGTGGAGGAGATGAAGGAAAGGCTCAACAGTGTCAGGCTAGGAATGCCAGCTTTTATTTAAAGTGGAAATAGCAGTGTTGAAGACTGGCTTGAAATAGTTAACAAACTTTGTGGTGTTCCACTGATGATTTTGGTAGTCATGAATTATCCTGCAAAAAGAATAGCTGCACTTCAGTGCTGCTGCAATAGTAATAACTGTGCCAGCTGAACACATTAATTAGCTCTGTCCTTGAAAGCACTACTGCAAACTCATGTGAAAATCATAGGATCATAGAATGAATTGGAAGGAACCTTTAGGATCACCTAGTTAAACTCCCCGCCATAGGCAGGACATCTCCCACTAGACCATGTTGCTCAAAGCCCCAAGTTAGAGTGTGGCTGTCGCAGTAGTAAGAGAAAACAAAGCTGGGACATCTCTTTCAAATGCTGGGGACAGCATTCATTTCATTTCTACACACAGAGCTGAGGATAGCTCTTCATTCCTTTCCTTTGAGAAGAGCATCACTAACTCGAGAGATGACATTACCATATTCAATGTTAAATGATCAGTCTGCATTTTTCTTTTTTCCTTTCCAACTCAACATTGCCAAATTCCCTGTTTCTTATGTCCTGCTATCTTTTAACTGTTGTTTGAGTAAACTTCACAATATTTAATACTGTTTTTCTCCTGAATTTTATTTTATTTATTCGATAATAGTGAAATTAGTTTGAATTTTATCAGTCTTCTAGGGTCCCCTTGCTTGCCCCGAACGCTTTGCACATAGTCTGTGCATTGTACCAACAGGACACTTCAAATCAGAAGTAATTACACATACATGTAATCAGTCTCAAATCAGTGGGACACTTTCATTGTCTAAATACGTAAATAGGACTAAGTAGAGTACCATTAACACAGAAAAATATTATATTTTTACATACTCAAAAACTCTCTTCTGGTTCAATCCAGGGAAAGGCAGGAGCAACTTCGTTATTTCTGGGAGAATATTATTTCAGTCCAGTCATTAGAATCCAGGTCATCTCTTGCTCTTTTATTGCTTTCTGATATTGCAGTGGCATGCATGTGATAATGCAAAAGGTTTTCTCCAAAAGAATCCATGCAGTGTTATTGATTTAATGAAATAAAATTATCTCACGAGTGGCATTCTACAGCTTTCTGAGGCATGCTAATTGCAATAAGATGCCAAATGATTCCACATCTGATGTTCTCAGAATGGTGCAAAGTGAATACAGAGTGTGTGTAAACACAGGGTATTTCTTTGCTCTTCCAAATGGAAGTAGTGCATAGTTCTCACTAATCCTAATGAATGTTGCTCTAACTTTGTTTTCTGTATCAAATAGATTTTCAATCTTTGATATTCATTTTCATGCTGTATTGCATAGGTACCCCTTTGTTATTAATGATAAAATGCCTTGAATGTATCAGACATTGGAAAAAGAGTGGAATGTGGTGACTGGACAAATGACTAGTGCAGTTTTTCTTTTTAAGAAAACCTTTTCTTTGTATTTCAGGTGATATTTGAATCTGTCTCTGTGAAAGGACATCCAGGGTACATAGCTGTGGATGAAGTCAGAGTTCTTGCCCATCCATGCAGTGAGCATTCTTTGTTTTTCTAACCATCTCAATGTGTTATATACCAAGCTTTGCAGTCTTTATACCAGGCTTTGCAGTCTAAAGCTGTGAGTTACCCAATTCAGCCAACTCTAAAATCTCTTCTGTTTTGGTATCCCCCAAAAGAACTAAAGACAGTCAGCCTTGTGCAATTAAACAACTTGACAATTTGTGCAAAAGGCAAAGCTTCTCTGAGTCTGTCACTTGTGCCAGGATGTCTGTGGACATCCTGTAGAAGTGTCACAAGAATATAAAACTCTGTTTTGTTGTTTTGGAATTGTACTGCTGTAGGAGAGGATCTAAATGTTTCTGATAACGTCCTGTGAGGTTAACTTAAGAAAAGAAGACAAATTGGTTCGGTATTTCCTTGGTAAAGGACATATCCCAAAGGTATCTCTCAAAAGAAATGTTAAACCCACTCAGATTCTGCATGAGTTATTTAAAAAATAAATCTCATTTAGACCTGCACAGAAATGAAAACTAGTGCAGGTTCATTACACTGTTCAAAAATACTTGTTCTGTTTCTTCTACCTTAGCTGCACTATGCCCAGCTTACATTTTTCCTGCTTAGAGACACCTTAAGCCTCTACATTTGTGTGTGGACTTCTTTGGTTTCTCTGTGCAACCACAGAGAGACTTGAGAACTTTTGTATCCCTATGTTGTGTATGGAGCATACAGACTTTTACAGATTTTTAACAGCTTTCATGTTCATTAATGAGTTCAGACATATCTCCTTCAAATATGTTATTTTTCTAAAAGTAATCTGTAATACATTTATGTCTTTTAATGCTTGAATTATTAGTTGTTATGTAGCATATTAAATTGCACTTTTGGGTGATACTTTGGTTTATTATATTTGCATTTGTTTATTATTTTGATGCTGCAGTATTTCCAGGTAGCCTGATGTCATTTGAGAAGGTAGCCCACCACCCTGCCAGGTCAGAGCTTTAACAGCCCCTTTCACAGGTTCTTAGTTTCAGTAAGTGAGCAGCAGCTCGTCACAACAAAATTCTGTGGGATGTATCAATGGGATGAGATTCACCCATTTTATTTCAAAGAATAGCAACCATTCGATGTGAGGAACATGGCTCTGCTCAAGTTTAACAGGACATTTCTGGTAACTGCAGTATGGTTAATTGCAGTTTAACTAAATTATATTTGTATTTACCATGTGCTCGTTGCTCAGGCCTTTGGGTGTATTTACTTCATTAAGAAATACTTACAATCTGTGTTGACCAGATGTTGCTGATAACTGGCAGCCTCCAAACAAATCCCCAATATGATGTGCATGCATTCCACAGCATGTTTGGTGATGACTGATCCCTGTACTGGGAAAGAGGCCACAAAACCAACTGTGAGGCAAAGACAAGAAGGTTATGGGATTAAAAAATATGTATCAGCCCCAAGCCTTTCTTCATGAAGTATTAAAACCGATGGTTAAATCTGTGTCTCCAAGTACATGCAGATCCCTCTTGAAAATTAAGTGAGATCTTGGTGAGCCAAAGCTGAAATGACTCAAACCATACCCAGTGCATTTAGAATCAGTTGGCAACCTGCATTGTGCACAGGTCCCAGTGAACTACAAGTTCTCTGTAGTCTTACTGTAAATACTTTGTCTGATTCCTAATGTTGTCTTTGCTGTTCAGCAGTGACAGCCACCAGGGTAGATGTCAGCAGTGACGTTGTACAGATTTACTTTGCCCCTTGAGTTCATTTTACAATTGTTAAAAATCAAAGCACAGGAATGAGGAAGCTGCTGATTGAGCCTGAATGTCACTTGAAATTATTGGTGTTATTTTTAAATTTCTCCCTCACCTACACAAATCGTAGTATAGCAAACAATCTTAACAAGCACGTGTCTTTTGTTTTGTTTTGTTTGTTTTCTTATTAATCTGGGAAATACCCCTGATGAGACAATGATGTGGAAACACAAAGGTCTAGATAGTATTGCCTTTTTTAATTCTGTGAAGGAATGCACAGAGAATCAGTTTTCGCTGTGCTAAAGGCTCACTGGCTCTGTATGCACAAGCACTTGCAGTTGTAGGACAGTCCAGTGCTCTGGAAATTGGGCAGAGCTGAGCTCTGGGATTTGGAGCTGGTGTGGCTGCGTGTACCTGGGCTGCAGAGCTTCTGATTTGGAGCTCGTTCATATCTGCACGCAGGCAAAAGTCACCCCTAGTAGCCTGCAAGCAGCACGTAGGACTTGCTGCCTGTCACCCAAAGGTGGTTTTCCAGTTGGCTTTGACACACAGTACTGACCCCCAGAAGGCACAATAGTACAGAATCACTGCACTTCAATTTGCTAGAGTTGTCAGCAAACTGGGCATGTGAGAATGTTGTACCAAGTGTTTTGTCTACAGGATGTAGATAAAAACCTCTGACATAGCATATAGGCAAACTGTTCATGTGCTTGTAGTAGACAGCCATGTATTTGCCAAGCTTCCTGCACGCACATGCCTACATCCTTCTGAAGCTATTTAATTCCAGGAAAAAAATGTAGGTTAGTATGTGCTCTGAAAATATGCAATTCTTTGGCTATTTATACTCAGAAATGTAAAGATGAAGTTGAAAAATGCTGACCTTTACTGGATTACAAAGCTGTTGTGTGTCCTACTAAGAGTATCTGGATGGTGCACAAACTTTTTTCTGAAGCACAAAGCTCATTTTGAAGTGTCAGATTCACTACTATTTTTAAAATTATTTTCTTATAATTTTTTTGCAGAGGTAAAGAAATGATACTTAGTGAAAAAGCTAATCAGGTGGTCTTCCTCTGCTGTCACCAGATATATTGGTGACATTAGCATTTTGATGTCAGTGCTTTAGTATTGAGCTAATACTGAATTTACTGTCAGTGAAAAACAGATATTGGTGTTGTTAATCAATGCAGCAATACAACACTTATCAGCACTTACATCAATATTTCATTTAATATCGATGATTTGATATCAATGGCATTGTTATTCCACAATTACAGGAAGTATTTGATAGTCAATGAAATTAAGAGGAGAAAATTCTTTACAAGAACTTGTTTTGGCCAGTCATGCTTGGCAACCTCAAACATTTGATTGCATTTTGCCCTTTGTAGAACCAGAGTTTTCTAAAGAAAAAAATGTACTCAGTTACTCTTTATACAAGAGAGTAACGAATTGTCTTGGTGTTGTGATCTAATAGTAAGTGTATGTTTTCAGGTGTGCTTGGGGGCTTGTATTGGCATGGCCTGTTCTCTGTAAGATCACCTTGCTCTGCAGCAAATAGTTAAATGCTGAAGCACAGCTTTATGTTGCTAAATCACTTTGTGAGGAACAGGATGATTTGCTAGGTGCTGATATCTGTGTCGGTGTAACACGATTGCTGCCTTGCTCTACCCTTCCTATTCTTTGCATCTCTTGTTAGGAAAAGCACCTCATTTCTTACGGCTTCAGAATGTGGAGGTTAATGTGGGACAGAACGCGACATTCCAGTGCATTGCTGGGGGAAAGTGGTCCCAGCATGACAAACTCTGGCTCCAGGTAAAGTGATGCAATTTTTTTTCAGGTAAAATAAGTAGACAGAGGACAACTGGGTGGTGGGGCAAATGCTTATCATCAAAATCCTTTGAGAACTGCCTTAAATTGTTTCCAGATCAGAGTTCAAGATGATAAAATGCAGAATTGTGGTATAGAAGATGGAAAAAGTGGCCAGTTACAGCAAAATGTTAGTTCCAAACATAGGTCTGCACACCTGTAAGCACTCATTCATAAAAAAAGATGGAACAGGTGCAATAATCCCTCCCTTCTGCTTATTTTTTGGTATACTTTCCTTTTGCCCTCCAAAAATATTGTTGACAAAGGCTGGGGAAAGGGTGTTGAGATGAAAACATTCCCTAAGATATGTTAAAAAAAAGACAAAACCCGTTTGTACTTATTTGTTTCTTCCTCCCAGTTTCCTTTGGCTGCATTGATAGCAGATTGTTCCTCTGATTGCTCACGAAATGACCTTCTCCTTGTTCTTCTCTTTGTGTCTATTTTCATCCTACTGGTTGTTCAAAGACTCTTTTTTGCTATTCACATAGTAACAAGCTTAGCTGATTTTCAGTTCTGGAGTTAGAAGTGGAGCATTTAGCAAACTAGAAGGGTGGAGTGCTGCTTCCCAGTGAAGGACAAAGTTATTATTACTTGTGCCCTTTCAAGTGCTTGGCTCTGTGGAGTCCCAGCATTGCCATGTTCTATACTAGAGTTCTTCGAGAGACTTTTAAGATAGTTGAGCTCTGTGCATTGTCTAAGCTGCTACACCATGAAACACTGATGTCCCAAGCAAGGACTCTGTTCCTGTACCTATTGTGTATGGCCACAGAGCTGACATCCATTTTCAAAGTAATTAAACCAGTCAACTCATAGTTCAGACCAGTGATGAAGGGCCTCTATCAGCAACAGTGTTCTTTAAGGACTCTGCATACAGTCGAATTTAAACGTAATTTTTTTTCCTAATGTTATGTTATGAGGGCAGAATTCTGTTCCTTTTGTTGTAGTGCCTAATTAAATGAACAAACGGAAAGCTTAAAAAAATAAACAAAAGCAGAAGAAATCTTGCATCATCATCATCTGTGGCAGACCCTTGTCATAGTTGCTGTCGTATTGGGGTTGAATAACTTTTTAATAAACTTAAAAAATAACAATTTGGTATCTAGGCTAAATACTCAGGCAAGAATCAGTTTACTAATGGTATAAATGAAAATCAATTTTGGGAAAAAGAGAAATGTGTTGGTTAGAGATGTGCTTGACATTATGTAAAAATAACAGTCATTTTAACTGTACTTTGTCAAAGCTGTTATCCAAAAATTTACCTTCTAGTCTGAAAGTTATTGGCCTATGTTGTACTTTTAGCATTAATAGAAATATATTTTGGCTTATTTTATATCTTTTTTGAGTTCTTTCTGTGAAGTCTTTCCACGGAAGGATTAGATGTGTGTGAAAACTTCTGATCTGAAGCACTGTGAACCTTTTTCCAAGAGAAGAAGGGATTTGGGAGGAAATCATCATTCCTAGTGGGAGCCTGTTTTCCATTCTTTTAAACTGAAGGATTTAATGAAAATAGCCTTGGAAATACCTCCCAAAATTGATTACTGGAAACTGGCAGAATGGTTCTGTGTTTTCCTTTGAGTCTCCTAATAAAATAGACCAACTGAGCAAGTTCAGGTGTTTATGCTGATTTCTAGTTAATTCATCACCTGTCACTTTTCCAGTTGGGAAAATGTTGCCTAGCATTGGTGGAGAGAGCTTTATTGAGGAATGCTGGACACATCAAGTTTTCTGTTCATCCAACTAATATATTTAAATTGTTCTGGAAACAAAATTTTATGCCTGAAAATGACAGGTTTATAAAATCTGTTCATTTATAGCATTTTCACAGGAGTACAAAATGCATTCATTTGTAGTATTTTCATGTCCTAGCTTAGCTTCTGGATATACCCTGTACAAATATTCTGAGCTGTCACTCTCCAGCCTTTTCAGTATACATAACACATCAAATGCACAAAAGTATATCAGAATTTAAGTAGATACAAAAACTTAAACAAATATATAAGAACATTTAAGCCCACTAGTTCATAAAACACAGCGTGCCTGTAAATTTTTCAGGGATATTACTAGCTGTCTTTTCCTGAAAAATGGTGCTTGCACGAAATCTAACCTAGCGAAGGTCTGAGCAATTTTAAGAGTAACAAAGAACGAATAATTTGTATGCCTCTGTGACGTGTTTCGTTTTCATCTGTCTTCACAGCAGTGGAATGGAAGGGACACAGCTTTAATGGTCACTCGAGTCGTCAACCACAGGCGTTTCTCTGCTACGGTCAGCGTTGCTGACACTTCGCAGCGCAGTATCAGCAAATACCGCTGTGTCATTCGTTCAGATGGTGGGTCTGGAGTTTCAAATTATGCGGAATTAATAGTGAAAGGTAGGTTGTATTAAAACAGCAAGTTTGTGTTAGATGAACGTTTCCTCCCGTGTCAACTGTGTATAAAATTTGACACCCTGTTGGGTGGGCCTTTCTCTTTCAATCATATTAGATTCAAGGGGGAGAAATGGGTAAAAGTGACATGAATTTCAATCATTTTTTAAAACAAGTATTTGAATCAAAACTTCATCTGAATACAGCCCTCTTCACGAGCTCTTGAAGTAACGTATGGTAGCTATGGATATTTCTAATGCAGCAGAACAGTTTAACTGTCAGTCAGCTTAATCTGGCTTGCTTTACATTTCATTGGACATAAATAATTCTGTAATAGTGTTGCATGTCAGAAGAGTCTGCTCAAGGTTGTTGGGTGTAGATGATCTGGAATGATTAAGTTCTTTACAGAGAGAGTGGTGAGGTGCTGGAACAGCTGCCCAGAGGCTGTGGATGCCCCGTCCCTGGAGGTGTTCAAGGGCAGGTTGGATGGAGCCCTGGGCAGCCTGGGCTGGTATTAAATGGGGAGATTGGTGGCTCTGCCTGTGGCAAGGGGGTTGGAGCTTCATGATCCTTGAGGTCCCTTCCAACCCTGGCCATTCTGTGATTCTGTGATTCTGTGATTCTGCTGATGTCCTGAAGCACACAGTAGGGATATCAGTAGCTCTTGATGGAAGCTGGAGGTTTCAGCTCTCTTATTCACTGTGATTCAGGATGTGATGCTGTGCCTGACACATGCAAGGTGGTATTTGCTTAAGAATATCCATGATGCATGGAGTGAATTGCTATTTACTACGCTGCTTTATTAATGTTACCCAAGCTGCACCACAGAGATGCTCACTGCATCTTAGGAGAAGAAACCAGAAGGTGACTGTCTCCCTTGAGGCTGTTTCAACCTCTACTGAAGGTGGTAGTGATGTGGGTGGAAGAAATTTGCAATATGGATCTTCTCACAGAATATAATTTTATTGATTGAAATGTTTTCGTTTTTTATGGAAATTGAGGACTGTTGGAGGAATGAGATCACTTGCTTCCACTGTATTGCTTTTTTACCAACTTTTTCTGTCACTTAGTGCTAGTGGAAGTACCTTCACAATGCCATAAATATCCAATGTTGTAGATATTCAGACTGCACTGATTACGAAGAGAATGTTCAGATTAGTTGCTAAGTGCTTTTAATTCCTGCCAAATAATCTAGTATCTTATTTGTTGGAGGAGTAAACTCGTGAGTAAAATGAAATTGAGTTGCCAAGAACGGCATATTAGTGCCATATGATTGTTAAGTAGAGGGAAGGCAGTCTTCCAGAGCAACCAGTATCAGAATATGCAGAGTTGGGCATGTGCCTGACACTTCCATGTTTAACAATATGAGGAGGAGAAAAATAGAAGAGTGAGGTGTAAATGTGAATGGCTGGACATCCAACATGAGGGACACTGATAGACTCAATGCTGAATTACCCAGGCAGGCACCTAGCCAGAAAAGCTTGAGGAGAGTAGTATTGTTATGGGAAGGCACACTCTGCTCCGTGCTTCTGTATAGTAAGCAAGCAAAGTGAAGTGGTTCATTTGAGGTTAGCTTGATGCAGCACTGTGAAACACTGGGATTGCATGGATGAGTACTTCTAGCCTGGCTAATTTTAGTGTGGATAATAGCAAATTCGTAACGCATATATACAGGCTGAAATGAAAGCAAATTGGAATTGTTTAATTCTGAAGAGATGTTTATTGAATTGCAGTAATGTACTTGGGTATACATTAAATTAGTCTGTAATTGAAGTTCTGCTCAATTGATAGTCCTGTCCCTAAACCTACTAAATCCAAGCTAATACTCTGCCTCACATGCTTTCTCCCAGTTAGCTGAACATAAAATCATGTGGGATTTTTTCAACAAAGGTCAAAGTTGAAAAAACTATCTGTATATCTTTCTCATGTAAAGATCTGTTTGCTTCCCATACCCGTAAGATATTTTATTACAGTAATGAGAAAGTGATTTACATTTCTTGATGTTGCATAATTTAGTAGATACAGAATGAGGAATTTTTATTTGAAATACATTTACTACTTCAGCACTTGAAATTGGAACAGTAGGTACTTCTTTCAGCAAATAAATCTGTGATATTAAACACAAGCCAGCCCCCCTCAGTTGTCATACATGACTGTGTGGACTTTACCTTTGTAATACTGTGAATGCATGAGAACAGCCTCTATAGAGCTGTTCACTGTCTGTGCTGATACCTTTCTGTAACTGATTCTGTTGCACGACTGTATAAGTGACAGTAAATTTATTCTTCTCTTTGCACTTCAGAATCATAATCATAAAGCCTGAAAAACCCATCATTTCCTTCTGCCCGCCTTACCATCCTTTGGTGCTCCCGTGGAAATAGCTCTGCTCTATTTCTTAACTTTCACAGTTGCTCATACAGTAATTTTGTGTAGGGCAGGCTTCAAAAAACCAAGAGCTTCTGCATCTTGCTATACTGATCACATACAGATGGAATGCTTCTTGTCTGTAATTTTCTTTTCAGTAAAAGCTGCACATCAGTGATTTGTAGCCCGAAATAAATGTGTATTTTGCTTGTGTAAAGATGGTTTAAAATGCTATGAAGTTGGCCAGAATCTGAACACTTAAGATCTGTATTAATGATACAATTTGAATTTCCTTCCAGAAAACGTGTCACTTCATTTAGAAGTGTGAATAACATTTTAAACTGTGTATGTGTTTGTGTGGCAAGTTGTTTGCAGTTTATTTCTCTGATCCATTTCAGGTAGTTTGAGTGCCCAAATTAATGAATGGTAGAAATTTGTAACTTATTTTTCATTAACCATTTTTATTTTATTTTTTTTTTTTGTAGTTTTGGCTCTCCAGCAAGTCCTTCGAGATTATCTTGTTGCTACCTGATGATTTTTGTGAGATCTGTTCTATTCTGCCACAACAGGAGTTGCAGTATGCAACAAAGCCCCTCTACAGACCTCTTAGGATATGTTCTTTTTCTCTTCAGTTTTGTCTTTGTTGATTTTTAAAGTGTTTGATTACTCAACACAGATGTAAGACAGTCTGTTCCTTAGCTGAGTGGCTTTCTGTCATCCTTGTGATATTTGGGACAGCTCATCTGTTTATCAGTCACATTTTTCTTGAGGTTTTCAGACATGAAGCTGATACTTTCAGTGATGCCAGAGGGAGAGGTGGATTTTTTTTCCCAGAGTTGCTTACTGTTTTTTCTCTAATTCTTTTCTGGTGTGATGCCTGTCAAAACAACAAATAATGAGAAATAATCATGCATTAAAACAAAATATCTATGACTATAAACTCCATGGTCTTTCACTTCATAGAAAGCAATTAGTGGGACATGGGATAGGAGAAAGAGTCTTGAAACCTTTTTTTTTTTTAAATAATTATTATTATTTTCATCCTCAGTACATGTATAATTCTGTACCCTAGGATATTGATATGAAATGTACTCATTAAACGTCTCGTAATATCATTGCCATCACAGGATAATATAGCAACTATTGCTATAGTGGTACTCAAACCCCCGGGCTGAGGGTACTGATAAGAAAAGTAGCACTGGTGCAGTTATCTTCTTTTGCCTGGGAGTAGCTGGAAGATCCTAGCCTGGCCCCTCACTTGGAGCCATTTAGGAGAGAAGCTCATCTATGGTCAGAAATAAATGCCTTTTAGATTTCACTGTTACAATAGTTTTTATAGCACGCAGAAGTTCAGATGGGAATTTTCGTGCCTCACAGCTGTTAATCTGGCTCATCCAGGTTGCAAAAGCTGCTGAGTAGATTTGAATTCATCTGCCACAGTAATACGCATTAATCAAGGTCCTCCAAGTTATCACGTTGTGAACAGGAAAGCATCTCTTGTTGGCACTGGCAGCAGTGTCAGTAAAGCTGTACTGGGGAGGGCTTTCCTCAGGCTTCATGCCCTCACTCTCTCATGTTCTCTCTCTGCCTTTTTACAGAACTGAATTGTCTGCAGTATTGATGTGTGCTGCACCATGAGAAGTTAAGTGTAGATTTGATCAGATGTGTGTTAATGTTGCTCTTTTCAACCTTGGACCACCACAGAGTGGTATGTGTGTGTGTATGTGATCCATTTGTGAAGGCTATGAAATTACTGAACAAAAGGAACTGTCTCTGTGGTTGTGGGATGTCTGAACATTCCTTTATTCCTTTGCAGTCACAATGATGTAGGGAATGCAGTGCTCCATTCCCTGGTCTTTGCATCTGGCTAATAATTACTTGAACTCTTCGCTCTGTTTTAATCATTTAGTTCAGTGTTGTCCAGTATCTATTGCTTTAACTCAGTTCTAATCATTGGGTGGCTGTGTGCTGAGAAAAGAGGAGATGAGATTTCGAACACTCATTCCCTCTCACTAAGAGCTTTTCCTTTGCTTCCTTTTCTTTCACTCGGGCTGAATAGCTTTTTGAGGAGGGGAGAGTGATGAGGACAAAGCCATTGTTTCATAGAAATAAGCAGTTAGAAAGAATGATACGTGTTCTTTCAAGAGAAAATATTTCCTTCTCCTTCTGTTTAACCTCCAAAATAGAACTGGAAATGAGGCCCTTCCTTGAGAGCTGACTGATAGATATACATGATCTTATGGACTGGATCAATTTTTCAGAACTGCACAGTCTCGCAGTCACGTTGCCGTGTTTGTAGTCCTTGTTTTCAGTGTTTACATTAGCCAAGGAGGTGTAACTTAGGATAGGTATAAAGTTCTTAATGGAATACAAGATAAATAAATACATTAACAAGTAAAGAAAGAATACAAAACAATCTTTTTGAAATGAAGGAACTTGAGTAAATATCCTGCTTTCTGAGTGCAGTATCTCCTGATGTATCTCAGGGACCTGCTGTTGTTGAGGTGCGGGGAGCAGACAGCTCATGTGAGCTGTGGTTCTGCTGGCTGAAAGCCATGGGGCAAGCAGTCCCCATCAGTCTTAGGCAGAGAGAGCTGTTACAGCTCGTAGCAGCGAGGAGGCTTCTCCCAGGGTTATCATCTCCTGTCTCTCAGGACTCTAGAAATAGCTAGGTATGATTAACTTACTAAAAGGCTTGTTTGTTTTTATTTTTGTTTCTTTAAATCTTCCTTCCCAACTTGAACTGAATAACTGCAAGATTCCCTGTGGGAAGAAGCTTTCTTGCTGCTTTTAAGTAAGATAA